TTATTTTCCTGTACATTGACCTGATGAGTCCATGTTTCTATACCCATTTCAACTAACACAGAGTGTTTTGAATGTTCTTTCATCAATTTCCCTTTGTATTAATAGATACAAAGCTATTAAGTTTAATGACAGTTATGTAGCCATTCGTCTTGTTTCCTAAGCTCATCTTGTTAAGTGCTGGGTTGTGTTCTCCCATCTTGGGTCTGTTTGGGGTACTGCCTGTGCCCATGTGGAAACTGTATACATTTGAACTCTACGGTTGCAAGAGATGATTTTATGCAATGTTAGGTTCCTTATTCTACTTCCTATTGCAGTTTTTTGTGGTTTGAAATCGATTTTTTTGTGTGTGTGGTGCTTAAATTCTTCAAAAAGTCAAATTGTATCTCTAAAAAAGGATTCATATGAAATGTGGAGAGGAAAAGTGATGAGATAAATTTCTAAGTGGTAGTGACACATGACAAAAAATATCAGACTTGACTAGTCTTCCTATTAATTTAGTCTAAATGTCATGTGTGTTTTTAGTCAGTCATGTAATTTTCCTATTGCTGCAAACTGCCCTTTGAGGCATATAAGATATAGGAATGCTTGTAAAATGAAAGACAGCAATTATTATTCAAATGAGATACCAACCAGGATATGCACAACTTGGAAGCTTGTTACTGTGTGAGATTTAATTATATTGTATATTTGTGAAGATTTATGAATTTTAACATAATGCAATAGTCAAGCTCCTTTGGAGGAGAAAAATCGCATTTAAAAATTCCAGTTACTGAACATAGTGGGCCCACTGACAATTCTTCACAATAGAGGATGTTTATCAACATTTTGGTTCTGGGTCATGCCCTAAGGGGCTTTTTCCCCACATCAATATTCATGAGCACTGATGGAAAATAGCAGTCACCTGCCTCCACTAGAGAACCATCTCTTTGAAAGATGTGGCATTTACTGCTGTTTAAACCCAGGGTCCAGTGTGCACATGCCATTGCATGAAGGAAAAATAAAGATCAAAGTAGGACTTAGAGCTGCTCCAATGGTTTTGATCAACCGCTGAGTGGAGTCTGGATTTTTGGATGTTTTTGTTAGGGAAGGAGGGGGCCAACTAGATAGACATTATTGGATTATGAAGAAACTTGGAGTGAATAATCATGTTTAGTTTTTTATAGAGCCCTTTTTAGTCTGAAATGAGGCTGATGTACTATGTCATAAGTTCATTTTGGAAACCTTTAGCCTATGCCTGTGAACATCTTAGAGAAGTGTCACAAAACTGTTCCTATTTCCCTCCCTACTGGCCAAGGATTTGCTAATTCGTCAGAAGCCCCTACCGGTTTGATTTTTGTCTCTGTCAAGGCACTTTCTACCAGGTTCTACCTTGTAGTCACCAATAAACTTTCCCGTCTTTCCCTTTTCCACCCTCCCACTTTCTAGAATCTAGACTGTAGCTGTAAAGTCTTTGAGGGCAGAGGTCATGGACCTTCTTGATTTTGCATCCCCTGATACTGCCTTGTGCCTGGTGTGTGCCTTATGCCTGGTGGCTTCCTGAGGATTTGACTCACAGCGGCAGGGGGCTTCCCTGGGAGGTCAGACCAAGAGTCAAGCGAGTCTGGGCCAGGCAGGGTTGCGGGCTCTGATGAGTCCAGTCAGAGGCCTGTTCTCTGAGTAATCCCACCACTTCCAAGACATGTGGCCTTGGGTGAGGCATAGGCCTTCTCCAGACTCTCTCCCCGAAGTTTTGAGGTGGGGCCTCTGATCATCTCACGTGCATGTTGTGAGATGTACATGACAAAATGCCTAGGAAAGAGTGAACCTGCAATAATTCCCCCATTCATCTAGCATTATCCAGGACCCACATTAATCAAGTTTTCTAATAACTGGATCTTTTAGCCCATTTAGTGGCAGACCCCAAAAAAGAAAAAAAAAGTTGACCACTGGGGATTAAAACATTTTTTTTAAGTTTTATCCTGTGGAAGAATATATTAAACATAATTAGATTGTTCTTGATCATTTACAATCTTTTTGATCCATCAGTTCTTTGTAGTAATAGCAGCGTCCTCAGGATTTATTTAGCAGCGTTTGGATCCGCACCCCAACGCTATACAGCCCCAGCCTATTTGGTTTTTGAGTGCATGTGTCATCTTTTTTTTAATAGTATACATAGTTTTTTAAATGGGGTTATTAAAATAGCTTTTTAAAGTATAAAAAATATTCTACTTTAAGTTTATGTCCAACTTGTAACTGTAGGAAGGGGAGTCTTAGGTTTCATTCTTGTGCCTCCATTAATATCCTAAGAGAGAGGAGAAAGCCAGAGTTGTGGCCCCTAAACACAGCAGACTGGATGGGTTTGCAAGGCCACAGGTCCTGGAGGAGCAGGCAGGCCCGCGACTGCTCCTGCTGCCCACCAGCACGCCCACCGGGCTATCCCACTCACTCCATAGCAAGTTGCTTTGCTTGAAAATATGGCCTTGTTTCTCTGAAAAGGTGGTGGAAACAGTCACCCCTGCTAGTAGTATATCTGCTAATATTACTAACTACCACCTGCTGGATACCTGGTAAGTTCCGGGACAGTCTGGACACTTTACATAATTCCCATTTTGTCTCCCTAACACAGGGAGGTGGTATCAGAAATAACCTAAGATGCACACAAGGCTCTTAGCACAGTACCTGACTTTCTGTGAGTCTGAGCTTTGTGGCGGCAGGGATCTTCACCACTGTCATTGACTGCTATATCACCAGGGCCTAGTACACTGCCTGGCACATATATTGAGGAGCTGCTCAATAAATATTTGTTGAGTGAATAATAAATATCAGTTGTTACAGATATCCCCCATTTTTCATATGTGAGCAAACTAAAACTTGGAGAAGTTTAGTAATTTAGCCAGTTCACAGCAGGAAGCGAGGGGCATAGCCCTCTCCTGCCTGTCCGGAGAAGGAGGACTGATTCTGGTAGGAATTAGTAGAGGCCTGTCGAGGGGCCCTGAGTGGCAGAGCTCTTGGGTCTGTGACGTTGTGAACTGGCTGGTTGGGAACTTAGTCTGGCCCTGGGAAACCATCTCTGACTAGGGAACAACAGCAGGACCTGCCGGGCTCCTCCCTCCCCTAGGCTTTGCTGTGATTTGTCAGCTGTGAAAGCTAATTAGCACAGCTTACATTGCTACAATCTTTTAACCCCTTCATTGATTGTATAGCCTGGCTCTTCAGCAGATGCCCGGCCTGCCTCCTCCCTACAGAATTTCACTCAGGCCCCTTAGATTATGTTGATTTTTTTTTTTTTTTTTTTGAGACAGTCTCGCTTTGTTTCCCAGGCTAGAGTGAGTGCCCTGGCGTCAGCCTAGCTCACAGCAACCTCAAACTCCTGGGCCTCAGCCTCCCGAGTAGCTGGGACTACAGGCACGTGCCACCATGCCCGGCTAATTTTGTCTATATATATTAGTTGGCCAATTAATTTCTTTCTATTTATAGTAGAGATGGGGTCTCACTCTTGCTCAGGCTGATTTCGAACTCCTGACCTCAAGCAATCCGCCTAGCTCAGCCTCCCAGAGTGCTAGGATTACAGGCATGAGCCACTGCGCCCGGCCGATTATGTTGATTTTTAAAGTCTGTATGATCTAATTGAAATTTGCTAGGAGGGAAAATCCTAAGTGTTCTTTCCAGCAAATTAAAAAAAAAAAAGTTGTAACTATGTGAGGTAATGGATTTGTTAATTAGATTGATTGTGATTATTTCACGTTGTAAATGTGTATCAAATCATCAAGTTGTATGCCTTAAATATGTACAACTAAACATTTTAAGAAATAAAGTCCATACAATTTAAAAGAAATATGATTGAAAGTAATTTCAGTTACTCAAAACTAATGTGGGAGTGAAATCACACATACTTTGGGAAAGAGAAGTAAATTGCAAGCAAATACAATTTTACGACATGCGAATCTCAGTGGATTCCTCTACTTTGATTTGCACAGAGAAGAAGACATTATGAAATTTTTTTCTCCATTGTGTCAATAACTAATGAAGTTTGCTGCTTTTCCAAATTTAAGTTGGAAGTGATTTTTATCTGTCATCTACATTTAAACCTCTAGGCAATATTTTGTAATGACATCAAAAGAAACCCATGGAAGCACAAATTACAAATTTACCAAAATTATATTTATATTTACCTATGGGGTTCTGTGTAAATTGGTGCCACATTTGCAAACTAGAATTATGGTGAGAAGAAATATCATCTCTTCCTCCATCTCCATGGTGAGATCACATAAATTTAAGTTATAGAAGAATATACTTGGCCATAAGGAAAACTGTTCTACTCTTTTAACGAAAGTATAATAATAACCCAGTTCTATTCACTTAAATAAAACTCAGGTTCTTTCCCACTTCAGTCAAGATAATTGTATTTGTAAGAATTCAGGAAAATGCTTCTCAAGGTTCTTTTTATCCTTTGTGTTTGCTATTGATTTTTGCTTGTTTATAGAATCCTAGGGGCCTTGGGAGATAAATATTATATATCTGCCCTAGGCAAGACTGTATTCAAGTCATCTTCAAAAGATAGCTTACTCCCTTCTAGAATATCTTAAGAGATGAAAGCATCTGTGGGTCACTGGTACAATGGATCATTTACCGGGGAAGTTTCTCCTTATAGCTTGCCTAATGTCTTTTTCTTCTGGTCTTGCTCAGAAAAATAAAAGGAGCTAACTATGTGTTAAATAAAACATAACTATGTGTTAAAACATAACTTTCAGAGTTTATAAAGAGAGTTTTGCTAGATAGCTTTTCCCCTTGTAGGTCGAATAAATGTCAATGCTGATATCAGTGTTTGTGGCACTGGATGTCAAAAATGATCAGCCATTTTCCCTTCTGTGCTTAGAAATGAAAAAAGGGAACAAAGTGGGTTATGACTCACACTGCAAGGCTGTCAAGGTGGGAACAAACAGTTCTGATACCTTGTAGATAGATTTGCATTCTTAGGGCTGTGGAAATGATTTTAAATTTATGTCTAATTGCTTTTTTAGGTGCACTTTGATCAATTTAAAGAAGCATTAATACTTATCTTGTCTAGAACTCTATCAAATGAGGAACACTTTCAAGAACCAGGTAAGGGCACTAACTTTTCTTCTCTACATTGCCCATTGAAAGTTGTCCAGGGAAGAATTTGGGGACCTTGAAACATGTCTGTGAAGGATTTGGGACATCTGCCTTTCACAGACTGAGCAGTTATTTTCAGTGACTTCTGTTCGATATTATCCTAAAAGCCTTGCAGCTGTTGAACACTAAAATGAGACTTCTCTACTACAGCAGCTTAGTGTGGAAAAAAATAATTGGATTATTCCTGGGCAATATGTCAGATGGTACGGCAATAACTCATTCTTGGAATGAGCAGAGTGAAGCTAATGGTAACCACGTTTGGCCTTATTTCCTGTGTACATGGAAGGTCATGATTTGGGGGAAATTTCTCCTAAAAGTAGAATGGAGGCCAATCTAGAGATAATTTTGCTGAGTCCTAATGAATGGATTACCTCTACTTATAGACATTGTCACATTATATTATACTTGTTTATCTGTCTCCTCCCTTCAAGTTCCTTGAGGACATGTTTTTTTTTTTCTTTTTTGTATTTCCAATGCCTAGAAGAGTCCTTAGCATATATAAGTATTCAATGAATGTTATGAAAAAAAAGAATTAATATTGTATTAATACTTTATTGGCTTTTTAAAAAGTACCATAGATTAAAAAATACATTGTTATTTTATGTATCTCTAAAAGCAAAAATTGTTGCCAATTATAATGTAAAATGCTATTGATTATAAAATACATTCTAATTTCAGAGTGTTCAAATCTGATATGGGGGTATGTGGGTCTTAAAATCAATGAAATATGGTAAATGTTTAAGGGGAAGTCTAAACAGTATGGGAATTTGTGTTACAGTACAGTCCGGCTTTATTAAATCAAGGGTTTTCAGGGTCTGGGGTAGGGGTTGACTATAAATTGACATGATGGAATTTTGGGGATGATGAAACTTATATCTTGATTGTGCTGGCAGTTACCTGATTGTATGAGTTTTTCCAACCCATAGAATTGGGCACTAATGGGGTGAAATGTATTCTATATAAATTATACCTCAATAAACCTGACTTTAAAAAAGAACATCAAAAACATAGTCCAGTTTTGAGACTGAGATGGAATCGTTAACTTTTTGTGGCTGTGCGGAGTCATTCAGTGTGACCTATTTAGATGAGGCACAGATGGGACCTCGTTTCTTACCCTTGCTGGGTGATCCAGTTCTTCATCCTACCTCCTGAGATGCTCCAGATTTGTGTTGTGTGTGTGAGTACTGCCTACAGCAGTGTTTTGGATTCTGGATTGTGTCTCCCCCTTTCTGCCAATGGTGACACCCGTAGGCAGGTTATTCTCAATTCTGAGGCTTTCCAGAGCTCTCTAGAAGCCTCCAGTGAGCCTGGGAGGGAGGTTATTCATTCTTGAGATTTTCCAGACAAACAATAAAATTCTGTAGGTTATTACTGCTGGAATATGGACTTTAGTTACTTATGAGGTCTCACAGTTAATTGTTATTTTTACTTTTTTTTTTTTTTTTTTTAGACAGAGTCTCCCTTTGTTGCCTGGGCTAGAGTGCCATGGCATCAGCCTAGCTCACAGCAACCCCAAAGTCCTGGGCTCAAGCAATCCTTCTATCTCAGCTTCCCGAGTAGCTGGTCCTACAGGCATGCGCCACCATGCCTGGCTAATTTTTTCTGTATATTTTTAGTTGGCCAATTAATCCCTTACTATTTTTAGTAGAGACAGGGGTCTCGCTCTTGCTCAGGCTGGTTTCGAACTCCTGACCTTGAGCGATCCACCTGGCTTAGCCTCCCAGAGTGCTAGGATTGCTGGCATGAGCCACTGCGCCCAGCTGGTATTTTTACTTTTTTAAGGCTGTCATCTTGATAATAGTGGTGGGAGATCTAGGGACCCTGAATAGAGCTATGGTGTTATCACTGCTGGGGTGGATTTTAATTAATATGAGCATAGGTAATATAAGCATAAATTCAGTGCTCTTCTGTGTACTGATACCAGTAGTGTGCTTTTATGTGGATTTGGAATGGGCAGTCCTACCACTAGTCCATGTCATCCTTTTGCTGCCCTTTCTTCAAAACCTGGACTGTCATCTACCAGGAAATTGTCGCAATAAATGTATAGATTTATGGTGACTGCAAATGTGATGGGTGCCCCCTGGAGTAGTGTGGTGTTGTGATCTAAGCAATAGGATGAGCTAGACAATAGCTGGTTGAGCTTGGCACAGCCAGGAAGTGAAGTTTATAAGTGTAGCTCCAGATGGTGATTTCATAGTTATGCGTGTGCCTCACTGCTGTGCAAGCAGAGACCATAATTTGTACAAGTCTTCCAGGACAACACACAGAAGGGATTTTTATAGTTTTGCTTTGTGTTCCATCCGTTGGGTAGGCTGCAGCAAATCTTTTTAACGGAACTGCCCCAAATCACTACAATGCAGCAGCAAAGTATTTATTGATAGCATTTTATCAAGCGTTTATATGACTTCCCTAACATTTGTCCTGGCAGGGTTGAGCCTGTGCCTTAAGAACGTTTTATCTAATGTGAGGCATGAGTCAGCCCTTCCACCCACATGCCCTGCTTTGTTCCTGGGCATCTCTGCTTTTTCTGTCTTTTGCCCCTCTCTCCCTGGCCCCTCCAGTTGTTGGTGGGGATCATGCAATTCTTTCCACTCAAACATTCTTCCACCCACTCTAAAATGTGACTCTGCCCCCACAGGCTGGCTGGGTTTGGGTAGAGAAAAAGAGAGCAGGGGCAGGATTCAAATGCAGTATGTCAGGAGGCAACCCGAGTTCATCTCTCCCTCTGCCTCTATGGCAGTAGCTATCCCTTAAGTCCTAGACCACAGCATTTTAGGGCTGGAGAGAACACTGCCATTTTACTGATGGGCAAACTGAGGCCCGAAGAGGGCTGTAGCTTAATTGAAGTCTTACAGACAATGGCGGAGGAGGGTGCTAAGACTGTAGCACTAAGGGTGTGATTCCAGGAGGCTTCAGTTTAAGGGTTTTGCCTTCACAGGGATCAGTCAGTCCAAAGGGTCTGACAAGTGGCTGGAGGCAGCAAAGAGGCATGAATAAAAGCAAGTCACCTGGTCAATTGTGACAGGGCTGCCTGTGTCCTCAGCATCATTTTGCTGCTCAGTACTTAGTTCGTCTTTTATCATAAGGGGCCAGGTTTGTGGTATTTTTGTCTTGCCTTTTCAAATCAATAGGCCTGGTAGGCTTTGAGAAAAAAGGTTACTTTTAACTATGGCCGGAGACTGAAAAAAATAGGTGTACCATAGTGCACAGCCTTAGAAACTGCAAGGGTCATGAATCGATATTTTATAGCACTGCAGATTGTTGTAAGTTAAAATAGCAGATACTGTACCCCAGACTATAATCTAGAAAAGTCAGCTTGATATAATGGAAAGACCCTTGAGTGAGAGGCTGGGAAATACTGGCTCTGCCCCTCTAATCGGGTGACCTTATGCATTACAGCCTCTGTAGTCTTTAGTCATGTCGTTTGTAAGAGTGGTTGTACCCGAAAATACTTAAAATTCCTTTCGGTTTCAAGATTCAATTGTATGGTTTCCTGATATCTAAATGACATTGTCTATGTCTACAAAAAGAGCTAGCTTTGTGTTTCTGTTAGATTTTACTTAATATAAATTGACACTATAAGGTTCATCTTCCTAAGGACAAATGCCTAGTATATTTCATGCTTTAATATTCTAATAAAAGGCAGTTGTGTATAAATTAAACAGAAACAAAGCTCTGATGGGATTTGAGAGGAGATGAAATTAAGTCATTATTTCCATCATCTTGAGCTCTGCCATTTATAACTTCTCTGAGGCACAGTTTATTTTTAGAATTAGGGGGTATGGACTAGATTATTTTCAGCATCTTGTTAACTCTGATATTTATGATTCTAAGATGTGGAATTTTCCCCCTAAAAAGCAATTAATAATAAGAACAACACAATAAAAAATACTGAAATTCAGATAAGCACAGAAAAATGGGTTTGGGAGTCGGGAGTCCTTTGTAAATTCCAAACTGATTAACATTGCTAGTGGCATAACTCTGTCATATCTATGTGTACAATTTAATTTTTAAATTATTTTTCTGGTATAAGAGAGGGGCAACAACTTAATTATTAGCTATTTATTCAATTTGCCACAGCTTTGAATTATAAGATTTTTTGTAATGGAAATGCTGGCATGGGCTCTATGCTACGTGGCATCAACATGCCAGCTGGATCTGCTCTCCGGAGATTTTGTCCTCGTTTGATGCATCTTGCATTAGATTTCTGTCTTATGGTAGATGTTAGCATAATGCAGAAAGCCCCTTCTTTCCTTGATGGAATTCATTGCAAATGTCATTCCTTTGTTTATTGGTGGGGAAAAACTCAGGTTTGCAAAAGCCACTCATTAGAAAAATAGGATCAAGCATTGTTTGGGTATAGGGTATAGATGATTGGTTATTTTGTAACAGACCTTCCTAATTCCAGGAACTGCCCTAATTGTAATTATTTTCCTTGTATTTTGAAAAAGCCATAAATATAATTAACAGATATCTTTTCATTTACTCAGCAAATGTGCATTGAAACAGGTCCTATGGCTCAGCATTGGACTAGATTGTGATTTGCAATGATTGAAGATTTGTTTTTGCAACTATGTTCAGAGGCCTTGGACCAGGTGCTGAAGTCTGACTGAGGTCCCTGTTTTTAGGCAATATTATACGCAGGTGGCCCAAGAGGCTTATTTTGTTGTCTGTCCTCTCTTTGGTTATGTCAGAACTTAGTCTCTTGGTGTCAATGAGATGCTAAGAGCGAGGATCAGAAGTTTTCTTCAAAAGTTAGAAGCCAAACAAACCACTACCACCACCATTACCACCACCACCAACAACGACGAAGAGGGTGTTAGGAGTGTGTTTATGATGTCATGAGAAATTGGAAACACACCTACCAGTGGTCATGTAAAATGATGGAACCTTTCTGGAATTACATAAGATAATAAGCACCAAGAACTATAATAATGTGCTTTTGGCTA